AGGTATATGTTAATGTGATATTAATTATGCCCCCCCCACCCCCACATCCAACGTATACGTAGAAGAACATCAGAAGTTCGTAATAGATAGAACGTAACAGTAAACATGTCTATTATGAAATTCTGGTAATGTTCTAAAGTATATATGGAGAGATGTGCGTGCGTTCGTGCGTGCTTGCGTGCGTGCGTTCGTGCGTGCTTGCGTGTGGTCACTGCTTTATTTAATTTTCGGATAATGTGATTGCAACAGCTTGCGTTTGAAGCTAAACGTATCATCAGGAGTGAATAATAGAGCAATATTATCTAGCAATGAGAACACAGGGTCCGTCCGATTCTCTAAGGGGCTATGAGCCTAATTACATCTTGCTATTATCATGAACATCGATGTTTGTTATCAATAGCAACATAGTAGACATCTGTAATATATTTTGTTACTATTGATACCTAGTGAAGATATGTTCACACTATAAATTGCAATCGTTGCTATATTGCAGGAACAAATGGCGTAGATTATTGGCGGGTGGCTAGCGATATATAATATATATACGTATTTATCATTATTTTGACATCTGCTGTGAGCATGTATAAATTGTAGATAAACTTAGATTATGTATGTAACTCTACCATTCCGAGCGCGCCATTTTTTTTATCCTGGGAAATAAAACTGCAAAAATATTTGCCTTGTCTTTCAACAATCATGCCTGTTTGCTAATATATATTTTACGTTCATTACTAAAATGCCACAAATATTAGCATAACATCAAGAGCGTATAAAGAAGGAGAGCGTACAATGGTAAAATGTTGAACGCTGAGATAATGAGCGGTGGAAATCTGGTATTTTCGCCGAAAACCGACTCGAGATCACTTTTTACTGTGACTGTCTCTCGCTTTGAGATAACTTCGGGAAACCTCGCGTGTTTCCGTCAATGATTGACAAATGGAATGAATGACGTCTGTTATTGATTGCCATAGTGATGACCCCCACCTGCGCCCACCTCACGCTGGATGTATAGTAAACTCTATAGTACTGACGTGAGGCGACCGGAAGCAATACACTGGCCACAAAGCGAGAGACAGTCACAGTAAAAAGTGATGTCGAGTCGGTTTTCGGCGAAAATACCATATTTTCACCGCTCATTATATCAGCGTAGGGGCATCGTAGGGACATGCGGTTTGTTTTATATTATCAAGGTAGGACAGCTGATCAATAATACTGCAGAGAATCGTCAAAATAAAACGGGGAAAGTTTATAAATTCGACTAATACTGCAACATGGTTTCAGCATTTCACCGTTGTACGCTCTCCTTCTTTATACGCTCTTGATAACATCTATCTTGAGGCATGTTGACAGTGCAGTGTGAAACGAGGCAGGTGATGAAACCCCAATATATAGGTGTTTATTTACACAACAAAATAACATGCGATCATTAACCAACGAAAAAACAACGTACGAAGTCGTCATCACGATTCACATCAAAACTAGTTCGTTCGTAGACCTTTATTAAAAATATATTCACAGAGAAAACTACAGTTCAGATCATTCCTCTGTCACACTGAGTTGCAACGTTGGAAGGGCACAAAGAGAGGGAGAGAGAGAGACTGAGAGAGAGAAAGACAGGAAAGGGAGAGACCGAGAGAGTGCGAGAGCGCACGCACGTAAGAGAAACAGAGGTAGGGAGAGAGAGAGAGCTAGGGATAAACAGCGAGAATTAATCAAGAAGGACTCCAACTGATTGCAGTACGGATCAACGATGCCAAAGCCCCGCAAGTGCAGCGTGATAGTAAGACTGGATATCAAATGAGGGAAACCACACGCTAAGAATAACTAATAATGTTCTATGGGGAAACGCAGCATATAGTTGCCCCCACAGGCGCGAACCACTGAGCTATTATAACATGTGTTGCTTTATTACATATATATCAGAAGTAGATAAAAGGGAATTCCCTATTATCTACTCCTGATATATATGTATGTAATAACATTACAGTTGTTTATGTACAGCCGAGCGGCACAAACGCACACGTACAGTACAAACACTGGTGCCACCACCAGGGGGAGTGCCGTTGCTCGCTCCTCGCAGAGAGCAGAGTTATCATGCAATGCAAAGAAGTCTTTCCAAAAAAGAAGCTGTGCACAGAATGTCGCACACTGGGATAGACGAAGCGTGTCACACATGCTGTGGCAGGTGACATGACATTGCTTCTACCTTACCGAATGTCGGACCGGTAATCAGTGTCACATTCCGGGGGTGGGGGGGTATGGAACTCCGCATAAATGGGAAAAATTGAGGGCAAAAAGATGGCTCGACAGTGAAAACATGGGGCAAAAAGATGGCAAGGGAAAAATTGGGAGGCAAAAAGATGGCAAGGAAAACGAAAGGGGGCAATAAAATTAATGCGGCGCACATACGCCACTATGCGGACCCCATGCCCCCCCCCCCGGGGTCACATTGTACACGAGCGTAGTAAACACATGCGCTACAGTACTGGATGTAAGCATGCGGATGGGTGTGGATGCGGCGTGAAGTACGGCGTAATAGACTATGAGATAGCCTGAGCCAAGTGGCGTCGCGAACATGATTGGTATGGCCTGTAAAGCAAAAATAAAATTGGGCCCTAAAGTTTTTTGAACGAGTGTGCGCCACAGGCGCACAGCAAACTACGCCGAGGCCTTGAAGTGCCCAAACGAGTGACAGGGGCCTCCCCCAAGAAAAATATTTTGAAATCTAAGACGCTCTAAAAATGCTATTTCCAGACAACTCTGAGGCATTTTGAAAGCATCCAAACAAGCAAATTCTAATGCGAATTATTGAAATTTATACTGTAACAGGTTAGAAAATTGTCATGATGGCAGCGGCAAGAAATATTTCCATTTTTAAGCGATAAAATTCCAAGGAATCAAAAATAACCAATTTCAAATAGTATTAAGAGCTACAGGAATTGACTTTTTTGCATATATTTGATTGAAAGCATTAAAAACTATAACATTTCACTTTATTGCAGCAACATTAAATATCACTTGGAGTAGGCTATGTATCATCAGCGTCCCCCCCCTCCCGGTTAAACGCTTGCTCTGCTTGTGATAGACAGTGGGGCCGTGAGCCAGTCTACAGATAGATCTAGTATAGAGATAGTCTAGAGCCATGCCTACTCTAGTGAGTAGGGCCCCTAGTGGCCGTTATGATCAAGAGCGGTAATCATTAACGTTATACAGGGCCTCAAAGAGCCAAACGGCCGTTAAAAATGAAAGTGTCAATGACACTCTAGCTCACCTTGGGTGTGATAGAAGAGGGAGAGGGATATATAAAGCAAGAGTATATGTGGGAGAACTCCCATTATATAGCATATATCCCATTATATACTCTTGATAATGATATATGCATAAGTTTTGATGCGAAAATAAATGTTTCAGATCTGAGTCGGAAATCTTGACGAGAGATGGCGCTACGCCTAAATGATCGCCATTTTGGTTTTCGAATATCGCGCAAATAAAAACAATAAAATATTCCAGTCAAATTACTGTAACAAAGAATCTAAAACACAATATTACACGTATATAGGTATATGATTGTAGAGTTAACCAGTTAGACGAAATAAACGTAATACGACGTTGACATCTCTCCCATAGGATTAGGAGTAACAACTGTTTTGGGGATATATAGCTTACACATTCATATACCAAAATTTAACAAAATCGAATAAATCTAGATGGCCATTTTCATTTTTGCCAAAAAGTGGGCGTGGCTCGAAAGTAGGTCGACTGGCGTGCTCCAAAATAGGACGTTCAAACCTCTCCCATAGGAGTAACAACTATATGCAATTTGAAACATGTGGGTCAAACGGTTCTTGAGTTATCGTTGCCAAATGTTGACGGACGGACAGACGGACGGACGTACGACCAGGCGCGTAGCTGCCTTTAGGCAAAAAGGCACGTGCCTGCACATCTTTCTTTTTTTTAATGGTTAAAAAAAAATTATGTTAAAAAGGATTTTTACAATATACACGAAACAACATACATAAATAATATACATGAAAAGATATGCCCCACTCCACACCATAGTGCATGTGTTCTATTCTAGTTGTATGCTCCACACACACTGAATGATTGAGCAATGATAGATCAATCTCACCACAGAGATGAAAATTCTTCTCTTGTTTGTTGTGGCGATCGCCTAATCTAGGGGCCTATAGCCACCCCCTTCTGTTCAATGAACAATATTTTTACACACATACCAATTAATTATTGCCAAGTATAATAGTCGCGCGGCTGTACAAAACGGCACCTGATGCATGGGTTAATTATGTAATTGAGAAGCGAAGCAGGTTACAACCCTTTTTCCGTTTTTTCACAATTCCAAGAAAGAGTTTTGCTGTCGCCCTTATCCCAGCGGTGGTCACCCCCTACATATTCAATAATAAACGCAACCTAAACAATGCCCCCCCCCCTGTACATCAATCACTCAATCAATCAAAGCTGGCCGTGCTGTAAGCGCAAGAATTGTTCGACAAAAAATAGAATTGCCGTAGTCAGAATGAAGGCTGTACATGTACTCAAAAGTACCTCAAATACCAGCTTCTAATAGCATTAATTCGCTACAAATAGGCAATAGCATCGATTAGCTGGTACCTAGAAGCCTTGGGTCTAATGGATCCCATGCAGTTTGCCTACAGATGCAACCACAGCATCACTCAAGCAATCCTCCTGTTTGTAATGGATATACTGGAAGGTTTCAAAAAGAACGAACACACCGTAGCCACGTTTGTGGATCTAGAGGGGGCCTTTGACAGCGTATGGCGAGAAGCGGTAGTATACAAACTGGCAGACATCGGTATCAACGGCAAGCTTCTCCTTTACATAGCAAACTACCTCACTGGAAGAACTGCGCGCAACCTGGTTAACACATACCAGTCTGAATGGATCAAGACGGAGCTTGGTGTCCCACAGGGATCGGTAATCTCTCCCATCCTGTTTATCATTTTCATCAAGGATATGACAAGCAACATCCCGAAAAAGATTGGCTACGCTGACGACCTCCTCGCCTGGACGCAGAACATCGACATCAGTGCCGCAGAGAAACAGATGAAAAACCAAGTCTGCAGTCTCACGGAATGGAACAAGAAATGGCGCCAACGAATCGAACAAAGAATCGCCTTAAGATCAACCTAAACAAGACCGAAGTGATCTGCTTCAGTAAGGAAGGGACCTTTCCTGTGAACATCATAGTGGAAGGGGAAACTCTCCGGCAGGTCAGCTCCAAGGTATGCCTGGGTGTCACCTTGGATCAGCACCTGACGTTCCAAGAACACACTGATAAAACAGCCAAGAAAGCGTTCGGAGCCCTGGCAAGAATCAGCGCGCTCATGGCAGACATAGGCGGAATGAAAATGGAGATCGGAATCGCACTTTACAAGGCATGCGTCAGACCTCATCTGGAATACGCGTACCCTATCTGGTGTTGCGCGTCCGAGGCACAACTCCGGAAAATTTACAGAGTGCAACGCATAGCCCTACTGAGAGCCTCTGGCACCATCAACACAACACCAGCGGCGGCCCTAGAAGTCCTCACGCATGTACCACCGCCGAGACTCCGCTTTCAGGAAATCTTGGCTCACGAATTTATTCGCATCCTGAGGAAGCCCCACGACAACCCTCTCCGCTGCATGGTACTACACAACCTGAATAACCAAGTCCTCATGGATCACCGAACCCTAACCCCTTTACACCACATCAGAATGGCTGTCAACTCCCTATGCGGGAACTTCTTGCCGGAACGGGTACACCACGAACCACAATATAGCTTGGGCACGCTTAATGCGACGATGGTAACCAGGGTTAAAAACTCATGGCACACACTCGGTAACAGCAAGAACAGATCGACCACCCAAGCTAAAAAGGCAAGGAAAATCACGAAGGAACAGCGGAGGGAGACTGACGAAAATACCTATAATTTGATATGATGTGGAGCGCAGAGTTGTTGACTGCGAAGTCCATTGCAAGGAATATTGCCTGAAGTTCTCCGTGATAGCTGCTGCTTTTACACGAGACTGCCTGTCGGATGGCGATGGCTTGGCTGTTGATGCCATTTGCATAGACGATGGCTGCCGCCCCACAGGGTCCAGGATTACCGAGAGCTGATCCATCAGTAAAGGCGATTATAATCGATATAAGCGATAGTCCCCTCTGCGACTGTGGACTTGCCAACGAGACCGTGGACCACAAGATCTTCCATTGCTAACGACTCAGGGTTAGCAGGGAGAAGATGACCGACACGATCGAGCTGGGGTATGTGAAGACCAACACCAACCCAAGCCATCGGACAACTGACATTCCCACCCTTACTGGGGAAAACAAGAATCTAACACCAGAGATGAATGCCATCATCAAACAGGCCCTCTCCAAATTCCTGTCTGCATGAGTCCCTCCCAGCAATCTAGCCGCAGACACTGCGTTGTTAACACAAAAAATGGGGGGGGGGAAAAATTTACTATGAGAAAACACTGGAAGCTAACGATACAAAGCGTGTATACATTGTGACCATGACCTCGTGTAACAGGAGGATTAATGAATAATTAACAACAACAATAACAACAAGGGGAGGACCACCATACCCCCGCCCGTTTTTCAGTTGTGCCTGTGTAAATAAAGTGTTTGAATTGAATTGAATTGAATTGAATTGCCTGCACATCATTGAAGGGCTAGCTATGCACCTGACGACGGACGACACCCCATGGCAATAGCTCATCTTAACGATGTCAAGGCGAGCTAAAAAAATTGGGGGGATAAAGTTTGGGGGCCCCTTTAGGCTGGGCAGCCTTTTTAGCTACGGCAGCCTATAGGCTGTGACGCCACTGGCCTGAGTGCATATCATTTTTGTTAAAACTATGTATTGGCAAAATTACACACACACACACACTACCTCGACGATCACAGGTGAATTCCTTCAGAAACGCGGTCGTGACACGAACATAACATATACATATATATGTGTGTAAACTGAGAATCACATTTTTGGCTTTTTTTCCTTGTTAAACTTTCTCACAGATTACCTATAACTCGTGATATATAACATTACTGAAAGCACAACCAGTGCCACTCACGTCCACTTCTGCGACACACATACGATTCACCAACTTTAACAAACACCACACGACTAGAATGGTCTAGCTAGACTATAGTACTAGACGTAGCTAGGCCCATGGCTTTCCCAATGTCAACTTCTCACTAACCTGACAAAAACACCCAACAAAATGGCGACACTAACTCCAGCCGGGGCGCATAACTCGCACGTTGTCCTGTGTGGAAAATTCCCACCTGCATAAATATAAACAGCGGCTAGCCTGTAGCCCAGTATCACCATAGACTAAGAATAACTTATTCTACTAAAATAAGTTATTCATAGTCTATGGTATCACCGCATCGACTGGGTGTGGGTCTCATACGTAGGGGGTTGTAGGTGGAAGCTAACCACTGTTAATACAACAAACACTTCAGCGGTTGTTCACCGTAAACGTCGCCAACTAATTTTATACAAAATAGACATTTAGGATGAGCATAATGTGGAGAAGACTAGTGAAATATAGCTGCCTATAAATATGTATATGTGTGGGTGTGTGCATGCGTGCGTGCGTGCGTGTGTGCGTGTGTGTGGTGTGTGTGTGTGCGTGTACGTGTGTGTATGTGCATATGTTCATGTGTGCGTGTGTGTGTATGTGCGTGTACGTTCGAGTGCACGTGTGCGTGTGTGTGTATGTGCGTGTACGTGCGAGTGCATGTGTGCATGTGTGAGATTAATTCTGTGCACATGCTAACACGCGCAGCCGTATAGGGCCTACGTGTGAGCGTCTAATATAAGGTGACGTCGTTCTACAAATTCACAACAACCTTCACGCTGCTGCGTCCACAGTCTGCAGAACGTTGGCCCTGAAGCAGCAGTGTTTACACTGCATACTGCCCCCCCCCCCCCACACACACACACACGGGCGTGAGCAACCTTCTACTCTTACGCAACACCTGCCATTCTCATCGTGACGTCACTACGCACGGTTTTCGGGTACAATTACGAGATCGGCAAGGAGAAAAAATATAGATATTCGTAAATATATATATATATACATACATATATTATATACATATATACATATATACATACCTTTATATAGAGATATATATATATATATATCGTATATTTTTACTCTTTGTTTTATATGTATTCCCACCAACGATGGACATCCATCCACGCACCCATCCTCGCACTTGCTTTCTCGTGGTGGACGGACACCGGCTCCCCCCGCATGATCATGTTTCGCCTTCTTTCTCTCTCACTCGCCGAGATCGCGGTGGCTCGGGCAGGAGCAGCGCAGGCGCTCGCGGCATTGCATTCGTCTTCGTTGGCGCTGCCGAGTCGCCGCGGACGACCTCCGACCCCGCCAGCTCCCGGAAGAGGGAGGCCTCGTCGACCAAGCTGCCACTGCTGCCGCCGCTGTCACTGCGGTTCTCGTCGATGGCCGGCGGGGGCAGCGGGAACTTGGGCGCGCCGGCGCCGTGCATGGGCGGCATCGGCGCCATGCTGTCGCTCTTCGTCATGGCGTTCTCTCCGCGCAGGAAACGCTCGAGCTTGTCGACGCACGCCTCCTGGTAGTCGTGGATCCACCTGCGCAACACCACTTCCTGTTAGTCGCCGCGGTGACGGCGCGCGCGTCGTTAACCGCGCCGCGAGGTGGAATCAGAATGCGAGCTCCGAATTAAAACGATACATTCGATGAAATTTAATCATAAAAATTATTGAAAATTATGATGATTTATTTATTTTTTAATAATTTTCATTATTAAAAATTCAGGCCACGCTTTGCAAATGACGCCGGCTATGTATGTTACGGTTTCAACATGCTGCGGCATGACGCCCACAGTACCACTCTCTCCCCTTCATATCCTGCCCTCTCCCATCAACTCGTCTTATCTGGAGGGGCACTACGGGTTTCCGTTCTGGACAGTTGCCTAGTTACGACTACCTATTACCTGATTCCGTTGAAGTGGCAGACGGCCCGCATGTCCTCCGGTAGATGCTCGGCTTCGGGCCACTCGAAGTTGTCGTGTACGGGGATGATACTGCAGCCGCACTCCAACGCTGCCTTCACCTCCTACAGTGGGCAGGGGGAGAAAAGCTGCGCTTAGAACGGGGATTCCAAGACTTCGTTCCTCTCTCATACATTCTTACTATATCAGGTTCTCTCTCTTTACTCGCGCGTTCTCTCTTGCGAGAGATATTCTACAGCCTGGCTTCTACTGCCTGTATGTAACCCTCCCTCATCTCTATTCTACGAGGCGCTGCTTCTACTGCCTGTATGTAACCCTCCCTCATCTCTATTCTACAGCCTGCTTCTACTGCCTGTATGTAACCCTCCCTCATCTAATCCTACAGCCTGCTTCTACTGCCTGTATGTAACCCTCCCTCATCTCTATCCTACAGCCTGCTTCTACTCCTGTATGTAACGCCTCCTCCCTCATCTCTATTTGCTGACAGGCTGCTTCTCACCTGCCTGTATGTAACCCTCCTCATCTCTATTCGTACAGCCTGCTTCTACTGCCTGTATGTAACCCTCCCTTATCTCTATTCTACAGCCTGCTTCTACTGCCTCTATGTAACCTCCCTCATCTATATTGCTACAGAGCTCTTCTACTGCCTGTATGTAACCCCTCATCTATATTCTACAGCCTGCTTCGTACTCCTGTCTGTAACCATCCCTCATCTCTATTCTACAGCCTGCTTCTACTGCCTGTATGTAACCCCTCTCATTCCTAATTCTACAGCCTGCTTCTACAGTCTGTATGTAACCCTCCCTCATCTCTATTCTACAGCCTGCTTCTACTGCCTGTATGTAACCCTCCCTCATCTCTATTCTACAGCCTGCTTCTACTGCCTGTATGTAACCCTCCCTCATCTCTATTCTACAGCCTGCTTCTACTGCCTGTATGTAACCCATCCCTCATCTCTATTCTACAGCCTGCTTTCTACTGTCTGTATGTAACCCCCCTCATCTCTATTCTACAGCCTGCTTCTACTGCCTGTAATGTAACCCCCCTCATCTATATTCCTACAGCTTGCTTCTACTGCCTGTATGTAACCCTCCCTCATCTCTATTCTACAGCCTGCTGTCTACTGCCTGTATTAACATCCCAGTGTATGTAACCATCCATGTCTCTCATTCTACAGCCTGCTTCTACACTGCCTGCTGTCTACTGCCTGTATGTAACCCTCCCTCATCTCTATTCTACAGCCTGCTTCTACTGCCTGTATGTAACCCTCCCTCATCTAATCCTACAGCCCTGCTTCTACTGCTGTATGTAACCACCCCTCATCTCTATTCTACAGCCTGCTTCTACTGCCTGTATGTAACCATCCAGGTATGTAACCCTCCTCATCTCTATTCTAACAGCCTGCTTCTACTGCCTGTATGTAACCTCCCTCATCAATCCTACAGCCTGTTCTACTGCCTGTATGTAACCTCCCAGGTATGTAACCACTCCATGTCTCTCTATTCTACAGCCTGCTTCTACTGCCTGTATGTAACCCCCTCATCTCTATTCTACAGCCTGCTTCTACTGCCTGTATGAACCCTCCCTCATCTCTCATTCTACAGCCTGCTTCTACTGCCTGTATGTAAACCTCCTCATCTCTATTCTACAGCCTGCTTCTACTGCCTGTATGTAACCCCTCCCTCATCTCTATTCTACAGCCTGCTTCTACTGCCTGTATGTAACCCTCCCTCATCTCTATTCTACAGCCTGCTTCTACTGCCTGTATGTAACCCTCCCAGGTATGTAACCATCCATGTCTCTCTATTCTACAGCCTGCTTCTACTGCCTGTATGTAACCCTCCCTCATCTCTATTCTACAGCCTGCTTCTACTGCCTGTATGTAACCCTCCCTCATCTCTATCTACAGCCTGCTTCTACTGCCTGTATGTAAACCTCCCTCATCTCTAATTCTACGAGCCTGCTTCTACTGCCTGTATGTAACCCTCCCTCATCTCTATTCTACAACCTGCCTTCTACTGCCTGTATGTAACCCTCCCTCATCTCTATTCCTCAGCCTGCTTCTACTGCCTGTAATGTAACCCTCCCTCATCTCTATCCTACAGCTTGCTTCTACTGCCTGTATGTAACCCTCCCTCATCTCTATTCTACAGCCTGCTTCTACTGCCTTATGTAACCCTCCCTCATCTCTATTCTACAGCCTGCTTCTACTGCCTGCCTATGTACCGCTCCTCACTCATACTATTTCTACAGCCTGCTTCTACTGCCGAGTATTGTAACCCTCCTCATCATCTATCTACAGGCCTGCTTCTTACTGCCTGTATGTAACCCTCCCCTCATCTCTATTCTAACAGGCCTGCTTTCTACCTGGCCTGTCAGTAACCCTCGCCTCATCTCTCTAACCTAGCAGCCGCTGTCACCTACTCTGACCCGATTAACACCATCCAGGTATGTAACCTTTCCCATGGTCCTCTGTGTCTGCAGCCTGTCTTGAAGGTGCACCTGGCAGCTGCGTGGTTTCCGCGTGTTCATCGACGGTGGAGTCGGCTGGAGGTGGGAAGTTTGACTGAACCTCTGAACAGGAGCATCCACCAGCTCGAAAGAACTTCATCCTCGTGCTGAACGACTCACGCGTCTGACCGCATGGGCCTCAACGGACGAAACTGCAAGGACTAGGGTGCACAAGGTGTGAGCAGAGAGAGGGAGGAGAGAGGGAGAGGGCTAGGGAGGGGCAGGGAGAGGGAGGAAGAAGAGAGGGAGGGAGAGAAGAAGGGGAGAGGGAGAGAGAGAGTAGGGGGAGAGGGAGAGAGAGGAAGAGCTAGAGAGTGAGCAAGAGAGAGAGAGGGAGAGAGAGAGAGAGCGATAGAAAAATAGGGAGAGAGCAAGAGAGGGAAAGATAAGAGGAAAGTGAGAGAGAGAGAGAGAGAGAGAGAGAGAGAAGGAGAAGAAAGAGAGAGAGAGATGAGCGAGTAGATGCGAGAGCGGTAGAGGCAGCCGAGAGCGATAGAAAAAAGGGAGAGAGCAAGAAGGGAAAAGAAAGAGGGAAAGGAGAGAGTGAGAGAGAGAGAGATGAAGCGAGAAGAGAGAGAGCAGAACCGCAGGC